ATATATAATTGTTTCTCACCTCATATTATGCATTTCTATAGATTGTCGGTTCATTTCACATCGTTTGTTTATTATTGCGACAACTCATTTAAAGGATCATTAGAAATCGTTAGAAAAAGAGCGACACAAGAGGCAATACTAAACAAAACGCAGAACAGCAAAAAAATCACGTGACCATTTACTACAAACGAACAAATAAATGTAGTCAAGAACATACAATTACATAGATAACATTCTTGTGGCGCACGATGCTTTTGATTCCATTATTTTTATCACATCCCGACCAGAGTTCCTAAAGTTGCAAGGTGGTGCGAAAGCTATCAAACCATTTACGCAGGTACATTGCGAGGGCTATAACTGTAGGGCTATACTGTTAAATGGCTGTCATTGACAGTGACGATTCTGTTTTCCTGTTCATATAAAAACGAACACTGGCTTAGAGCTCTTAGAGAAATTCCGATTGTACTTCCGCATCCGATGTGGTGTCATGAATGGTGCTATCCAATTGCCTTGTTAGCAAACGTGACGGGGAAAGCTACACTGATAAGCGATCATCTCCGCAATGCCGTCATAAGAATTTGGCGTCCCGATTGCTTTGACGAAACTTGTTTTTTGTGGATGTCAAACTCAGTAATTCGGACGGAGGCAACTGGTTACGTGAAGTTCATCATCATTTCACAATAAAATTAATCGTCGTCCTTACCAAAGCCAATTCATCAACAAACAGTCCGACAGTACTTTTTCTAATACGGGCTCAATTTAATTAGACGAATTAATCTAATGAAGTAGTAGTTGAGGTCTCTGCCTTTCTTCGCTGATCGATTTTTGTTTTTGCTTATCGATTTCAGCCCGTATAAAGCTTAGGCTCGCATGACGCATCAAGTTATTATACTTTTTCTTATTGAAAAAAAGTAGTTAAAGTTGTGTTAATATAATGCTGATTTCACTCAGCTAGATTTGGCATGAGTCTGCTTTCTGACTATTCAACTCTTGATCAGGATTGCTTTTTAACCAAGTGATGTATTTTCACTGTTTACTCAGTTGGATCCATTTGATTGTTCTTTTGGAATCTTAAGCTATGTATAAGTAGTGTATAATGACGATGATTTGTATCGTGAGCCTTGTATATCAGTTTCGCAGACGACGTACAGAATTATATGAACAACTTTGGAAATCCCATACGTCCTAACACATTTTTGTAAGCATACGCAGAACTTTCGTTTTTTGGGAAATGACACCATACGGCATTTACTTTGTAATGCCGCTGGCTAGAGACGAGTTACGTCAAACCTACCTTTTTCGAGAAGAACATCATTCATGAGCAATTACGTAGTATTTCTTTTACATATTGAGACAGATAGTATTCGTTCGGTTCGCCATTTGTAACTACACCTAAGTCACGTTTTGTACATCCTATTCAACATGCTGTTGGAATATTCGGTTCAAAATGAAAACGAAGATCTTAAAAAAAAATGATCTATGCTTCTGTGCATTTTCACGCCTTCTCGGGCAGGAGAAGAATAAATTTTGCATTGGAAAGACGAAGATTTCTGGCCACACGTATACACAGATTTATTACAGATCATGCATTCCGTGATGGAAAATGAAAATGTGTTCCGTCCAGCACGAAATATTAAACTACATGCAGACGCTAAACCTTCTTAATAAAATTGCTAATTATAGTAGCGACGTTAATGATAACTATAATAGGAATAGATGATGTTGGCACACCTTATATGAAGAGGAGTAATTCTCAAGAAACAGAAAAGTAAAAGCTGATTATTCTGATTGTTACCTACATTATGCGTATGTGCATAAACTATAAAGGAGCAGGCATCTTGACTTAGCACAGTTTCATCAATGCAAAGGAATCATTTTTAAGTGGTAAATTTTTTGCTGATTAATTTACAATTAATTTTTTTTTTATTAATGAACTGACAGGGCGAACTGGTGCTTAGCTTTTTCCTTTTTAATCAAGTATTCAATGCAGATTCTACTATAATCTGTGGAAACCGTAAGAAAAGTATTGTCTTGCAACAAAGAGGCCGTCAACATTAAGGTAGAAGCGTTGGTATATCACCAACTTAACTTGAACAACACCAAAATATTCATTATGAATTAAAATTAGCACTGTTCGGGTCATTATATAACCCCAGAAAGATGGGTCTTGCCGATAGCATTGGTTATAAACATGGTTATGATTACAAGCTGTACCTGGAAATTGGTTACGTACGTAGGAAAACTAACAGCCACCAAACGTCCCATTTTATAAAAACTTACGATACAATAAGCTTATTTATAGAGAAATTTGCGACTGATACATAAACAAGCTGTCCTGTGCTGTTGCGCTCAAATGTCACTATAAAATTGTCCGAAACAACG